TTTACGTGAAGTGGCATCGTAAAACTCGGTGAAAAACGCAATATTCGCGGTGATATGCAGTAGTCGTGAAATATGCCTTTCAGTAGTGTTTTTCATATCACTTGGGTGGTGAAACTCCAATGATATCTATAGTATCAAATCTAATATGACTAAACTGATTTATCGATATTTGCCAGCGCCGGATTTCATAGTTATGATTTTGACTTTGCGATGAAGTTGCTGCTTCCTTAGGTGACGTCCGTGTGAAGGACGTGAGTTGGACGGAGAGAAGGAAGGCGATAAGCGATAGCATGCCGCCTGGTGTGGAGGAAATGGTCATGGTTGGTCATGATGGTCGAGTGACGGAAGGCCTCAGTTCCAATGTGGCGCTTGTTGTGGATGGAAAGGTCTATACTGCTGGAGCGGATAAGGTGCTTGTTTAGCATCGAAAAGGTCGTGGGATCGAATCTTTGTATCATACCGGCTTGTTGTGTCGGAATGGATTCTCGCTTTCCTCAGCTGGGCTCAGGAGTTTCCTATACAGTGTTGGAGTAGGAATATATGTTCGCTTTCCTCAGCTGGGCTCAGGAGTTTCCTATACAGTGTTGGAGTAGGAATATATGTTCGCTTTCCTCACCTGAGCTCAGGAGTTTCCTATACAGTGTTGAAGTAGGAATATATGTTCGCTTTCCTCAGCTGGGCTCAGGAGTTTCCTATACAGTGTTGGAGTAGGAATATATGTTCGCTTTCCTCAGCTGGGCTCAGGAGTTTCCTATACAGTGTTGGAGTAGGAATATATGTTCGCTTTCCTCACCTGAGCTCAGGAGTTTCCTATACAGTGTTGAAGTAGGAATATATGTTCGCTTTCCTCACCTGAGCTCAGGAGTTTCCTATACAGTGTTGGAGTAGGAATATATGTTTGCTTTCCTCAGCTGAGCTCAGGAGTTTCCTATACAGTGTTGAAGTAGGAATATATGTAATCTCTTTCCTCGGCTGAACTCAGGAGTTTCCTATACAGTGTTGGAGTAGGAATATATGTTTGCTTTCCTCAGCTGAGCTCAGGAGTTTCCTATACAGTGTTGGAGTAGGAATATATGTAATCGCTTTCCTCACCTTAGCTCAGGAGTTTCCTATACAGTGTTGGAGTAGGAATATATGTAATCGCTTTCCTCAGCTGAGCTCAAAAATTTCCTCACTAATTATACAAGTTTACATTCGAATTCGGGTAGAGAGAATCTCCAAAAAAAATTTCCTCCCAGAATTTCGATATTGTCACCAACACATGTAGTCGCCCATGTGCATGTTTCCACACACTGGAGGTGGCGCTCTCTGACCTCGCGCTCCCACTGTGTTGGAGAATTCTCGTAGGAGGATGAGAGTTGGTCGAATTCAGGTTTTGAGTGGAACCATCAGGGAAATTCTACTGGAGGTCTGCCGTGAACATGATATTGAAGTTGTTTATGAAAGTGTGCCGGTGGAGACGGCTCGCAGAGCTGATGTGGAGCTGTTGATAATGAGCACTAGTCGGCTGGTAATCGGAAGGCCTGCCCGGGTTCGATCCCTGGTGGGTGCATTTTTCCCGCCATTTAGGTGCTCTCTGTGGAGAAGCTCATCATTCCTGGGGAATTCGTCGAGAGCGACGATGTTGTTGTTGTTGAGCATCCACTGGACTCGTCGTTGGTGAGCTCGCTGAAGGCGTGGGTGAAAGGGAAGGTAGAGGTGGATTCATTCCCTTTGGACGATTATGAGGTAATAATTCCGAAAGCGGATTTTTTCACCCACTTGCAAAAACCGTTGGATTTTCTCAAAGAAACTTTCCAGATGTTGTTGATGGAACTCCTAACTCACCGTGAACAGTATCTCGTGTGCATGCGTGCTGTTCATTTGATATTTTTGTTCAGGAAATTTGAAAGATATTTCTCGAGGTCGCTTGCCCACTGTGCCATATTTTTGTCGTCTGCTTATACTTCAGCTGAGATATTCCTGTTTCTTTTTCGCCTCTGGGCGAAAGCACTTGAGATTGAGTTTATTATTGATCCCGGGTGGGAGAGTATTATGTTGTTTCGGTGGTATCTCAAGGTTGACCGCGAAAGATACGGATCATGTCCTCGAAATTGCTTTTTTTACGAGGATATGGTAACAGCATTATGGGAAAAATGGGATTCACCGATAAGTTTACTGCGTTTCATAGATATATAATATTATGTATTCATGACCTCTAAAAATT